ATAATCTCCTGAATTTCGTTATAAGACACACATCGACTTATAACTAAATCTTTACATTTTTTATATAAATGAGGATCATCCCAAAAATAAGATTTTGCATTATAAATGAATTTTTTTCTTATGTTTTCGTTTCATACCATATGATAAAATACCACTAACAATATAATTTTCAATATCAGTATAACAAGGTATTTCCCATCCATTTAAAGCACAAAGTTGCTCATCAGGAAAAGTAACTTTATTCTCTATTTCAGAATCACGTATTTTGTCCTATTCCAACCTTGGTAGATGATTAACTTTTTGATTATGAGTCCCTTTCCTATCAACTACCACAAAACCAAACTCTTGCATCAGAAATATCCACTTAATTAATCTTAGTTTAGCATCATTATTTTTTATTAAATATTTAATAGCAGAATGGTCAGTATGCACAACACATTTAGTTCCAATCAAATATGATCTAAGCTTATCAAACACATACACAATGGCTAATAACTCTCTTTCTGTGGTGGTATAGTTAATTTGGTTTAGTTCCAATCAAATATGATCTAAACTTATCAAACACATACACAATGGCTAATAACTCTCTTTCTGTGGTGGTATAGTTAATTTGGGCATCATTAAGATTCTTACTAGCATAATATATGACCTTGAAAATCTTATCATATTTCTGCCCTAAAACAGCTCCAATTGCATAATCACTAGCATCAAACATTAGTTTAAAAGGGTTCTCCCAGTCTGGTGAAACAAAGATTGGAGCAGTGATCAATTTTTCATTTAAAGTTTCAAAGTCTTTAAGGCAATCTTGGTTAAAGTCAAACTTTATATCTTTTTCCAGAAGTTGGCATAAAGGCTTAGTAATTTTTTAAAAATCTTAGATATATCACTTGTAGAATCCAACATGTCCTAAAAAGTTCCTAACTCCGATTACATTATTTTGTGGAGGTAGGCTCGATATAACCTGCATTTTTGCAGGATCTACTTCCATGTCATTTTCTGAAATTTTATGTCCAAGAACAATTTCTCCTGCAACTATATTGACATTTCTCCGAGTTTAAAATAAAATTAGTCTTTTTAGAATGTTCCAGAAATTTCTCTAATTAATTTAGACATATTTCAAATTCAAAGGAAGTTCCAAATATTCCAAATATAGAAAAATCATCCAAAAAGACTTCAATCCCTTTTCAATCAAATCACTGAAAATTGATATCATACATCTTTGAAATTTTGGAGGTGCATTACATAATCCAGAAGGCATTCTCCAAAAAGTAAAATTTCCATAAGGACTAGTAAATGTTATTTTCTCTTGATCCTCAGGAGCAATAGGTATTTGGTGATAACTGGTATATCCATCTAGAAAATAAAAATATTTATGCCTAGCTAATATATCCAACATCTGGTCCAAAAGAGGGTAAAAGAAAATGATCCTTCCGGGTGGCAGAATTTAATTTTCTATAATCTATGCAGCTTTGCTAACCAGTGACTTCTCTTGTTGATATTAATTTATTATGCTCATTCATCACTACAGTTATACCTCCTTTCTTCAGAACACAGTGAATTGGACTTACCCAATCATTGTCTAAAATAATACATATTATTCCCGCATCTAACCATTTTATAATTTCTTTCTTAACCACTTCTTTCATCATAGGATTCAATCTCCTTTGAGGATCAGTTCTTGGTTTATGTTGATCTTCAAACAAAATTCTATGCATACACATTGAAGGATTGATTCCCTTAATAACAGCTAAAGTCTATCTAAAGGCTTTCTTGTATTTTTCCAAAGTTTCTAACAATTATTGTTCATGTGCATCATTAGCATCAGTTAGTTCTAAGGATATTATGACAAGTAGTGTAGATGAATCTCCTAAAAATTCATACTTCAAATGTGTCAAAAGTGTTTCTAATTCTAGTTCAGCCGGTTTCTCAATAGAGGAAATCAAATTGTTGTCATTTTCTGCAGAATCTAACATTTCAAATTTCTTCTGAACATAATTCAATTCTTCCATTCTCACTTCCTTACACTCATCTTGGATATTCCATATATTGATATTCCATATATTCCTTTTCGGATATTCCATATATTCCTTTTCGAATTCACTTTCATATGTCTTTTTGAAATATTCATGGCTTAAATACTCATTAATATCCATTCTGAAGCATTCAATCTCTTGTTCTTTTGCAGGGCATCTCATTAATTTTGTAACATTAAATGTAACCTCTTGATCCTTAACTCTCATAGTTAGTTCTCCCTTCTACACATCTATCAAAGCTCTTCCATTGGCTAGGAATGGTCTTCATAAAATAATAAGAATTTTTTTATCTTCCTCCATATTTAATACAATAAAGTCCAGTGGAAAGATATATTTATCAACCTTTACTAAAACATCTTTTATAACTCCTTTAGGATAGATAATCGAACAATCAGAGTTACATAGAGTTACATTTGTAGGTGAAATATCTCCTAAACCTAACCTTCTAAAAATTGATAACGACATAAGATTAATACTGGCTCCTAAATCACATAAGCTTTTCCATAAAATCATTCGCCAATTGCACAAAGAATTGTAAAACTTCTAGGATCCTCAAGTTTTTCAGGAAGCTTCTTTTGATTTATAGCGCTACAAACTTCACTAAGTGCAATGGTCTTATTATCTACAAACTTCTTATTTCTATTAAGTATATCCTTCAAGAACTTCACTTAGCTTGGTATTTGTTCCAAAGCTTCAACGAATAGAATGTTTATCGTTAATTTTGTCAAAATTTCTAAAAATTTTAAGATTAATTATCTTTATCCTTCTATTTTAATCTTTGAGGTAATGGAGGTGGTGGTCTTTCTACAGTGATTTTCATTGATTTAATAGGAATTTCTCACTCATGATGAAAATTTTCACGAGAATCTTCATTTTCCACCCCATATTTTTCAATTTCAACTTCTTGTTGAACTCCTTCTTCTAATTCTTTTTCACTTCCTGGTTGAATAGCTTTAATTTCCTCCTTTTTTTGATCTTTAGGATTTGCTTCGACATTATTATGCAATATTCCTAGAGGTCTATTGCTAAGTTCAGTAGCAATACTTCCTAATTGATTTTCCATCTTTCTGATTGCAACATCTTAACTCTGTAACTGACTTCTCATTAGCAATATCAGTTCTTCGATTGATAACTTTTTCTCCATACTTTGCAAATTATTAAATCCTGGGGGTAATAAAGTTTATAAGTTTGATATCCTTGATTGTTGGAGCTTCCCACTGGGTTTGCAGCATTATTTCCCCATTGTGGATTTGAAGTATTTAAGTTATTATTACTCCAACTAAAGTTTGGATGATTCTTCCATCCAGGATTATAATAAATGGCATAAACATTATTAGAACGATTGCTTATTGCATTATAAGTCTCATAAAAAGATTGAGATACTATCATTTGTCCCAATGAGTTCTCTTCAAGCACAGGTGTTGTTTGAGAATAATTCACTCCATATTGATTTAGCTTCTTCAATATAGCAGCTATTTGAGTAGCTAAAATAGATATTACATCAGAATCATGAACCCTGGCTACTCATTGGGATTTACCCTTTCTGAGGGCCATTAAAAATTATTAGTAGCCATCTCTTTAATTAATGAATATGCTTCATCAAATGGTTTTAACATTAATGATCTACCACCACCAGCATCAATTATCAATCTAAGTGATCCAACCAACCCATTATAAACATTTTGAATTGTTAACCAATATGGCAACGCATGGTGTGGACACTTCCTAAGGAGATCTTTAAATATTTCTCAAAAATAAGATCTTTAAATATTTCTCAAGCTTCATAAATTGATTCCCCTTTAAACTGACAAAAAGATGTAATATCATTACTAAGCTTAGTAGTTTTCGAAGGTGGGAAATATTTAGATAAAAATTTTGGTGTTAAATCTCCCCAAGTTATGATAGATCTGCATGTTATTGAGTTTAACCACATCTTAACTTTATCACTCAGTGAAAAAGGAAAAAGTCTAAGTCTGACAATATAATTCGATACTCCATTATTTTGAAATGTAGCACACAATTCTAGAAAACTAGCAATGTGTAAATTTGTATCTTCATTTGGTGTTCCTCCAAACTGATTGTTTTGTACGATTTGGAAAATAACAGGTTTAAGCTCAAATGAATTGGCAGCTAAAGCAAAGTTATGTATACTCAAATGAATTTTATTTGTCGTAGGATTAGCATAATCCCTTAAATGTCTCTGATGATGGTCATTTTCATTTCCAGCATTACTTGAGTTGCAAGTCATTTTGCTAATGATTTTTCTCTTTTTGTTGCGAGTTGCTCTAAATATATATATATTTATATATATATATAGCAAAGCCCGTTCCAGCGCCACCACCATCTTCATACGAGTTGCTCTAAATATATATATATTTATATATATATATAGCACTTGTTTGTAAGTTTTGATTTGGTCATTCTAAACTTGAGTTTATTAGAAAGGACTATGAGCTTATAAAACTCGAAGGCTCTTGGAAGATATGTCTTTTGGACGGGAGGCACATTTTAATACATCTTTCAAATGATGAAGACTACACACGTATTTTTGCATGGAGAACAATTTGTTGTGAAGACAGTTACATGAAAATTTTGAAATGGACCGTGGCTTTTGATCCAAAGACAGAACCTCCCATAATCCCTATTTGGATATGTTTCCCTGGTTTAAAGCTTTATTTGTTTAATCACAAAATTTTATTTTCACTTGATGCTGCCTATGATAAACCATTGCAAATGGATACACCCACTTTCACTCTCACTAGACCTTCTGAAGCAAGGGTTTTAGTTGAGCGCGACATTACCCAATCGTTTCGTGATGAGGTCTGGATAGGGTCACAGCACCAAGGCTACTGGCAACCTATTGAAATTGAAAGACATCCCCACTATTGTCCTCACTGTCAAATGTTTGGCACTCATCATCTCATTGCTATCAGCTTAATCCACAGGTGAGAAATGATCTTGGGAAAAATGACAATGCTCAAGTTCCCTTCGTTTTGGAAAAAAGCTACTAATGATTTTCCTGACAATGTTGTTATTGCTCCTTCAATCTTGCCTCTCGAGAACGAACATGTTGATGTTCCAAATGCTGGATTAACTAATTTCACTGATGATGATCCCCTTGATGTTATTGTTGCTGGTGAAGATCCTTTTACAAATAATTTATCTCCACCAACTATCTCCACTTCTTCTGATATAGTTCCAAAGGTTGGATTATCTAAATTTAGTATACAATAAGCTAATGTTGTTTTGGATAGGGAGATGGGTTCCAATGATATTACTGATAATCCTCCATTGGAAATACTTAATTTTTCAGTTGAACATGTAACTAACTCAGATGATCCCTTACTTGCTGCTTCTAACTTGCATTCTGATAAAGCTCTAGAGGACTCTATGTTGAACTCTCGGGCACCTACTGCTGATGTGGATGGTCATTTACTACCTCCCCCAAATCCTAATTTGGTAACTATCAAAGCTAATTTTTTGTTTTATGTTAAACCTGTTTCACTTAATTTGATATAAGAGGTAGTGAATAATTTAGAACAAGAATGGTTTGTTCAGAAATCACCGAGAAAGAGAGATAAAAGGAAGAATGAGCTCTCACAATTGAACCAAAGCAATATACTACAGGAAGGTAACTACTACTCTAATGGTGATAACACTCATGTTGGTAGTCCTTCTAAATCTTCTAGAAGGGTTGGCTTGCACCATAATGTTTAATGTGATGTGTTGGAATATTAGGGGAGTGGCGGGCCCTTCCTCCCTTAATAGATTAAAATATTTATCTAGGGTCCATAAGATTTATTTTTTTACTATTTTTGAGCCTATGGCTTCTATTAGCAAGGATAGAATTCTCAAGCAATTTAAAAAATACAATACCTTTTGCAACAAAAATAAGATATGGATTTTTTGGAAACCTTCTGTCAACATCAATATTATTCAAGATGATTATCAATTTATTCTTCTCAATTATCATTTGGAGGAATAGCAGGGTTGGGCCACCTTTGTTTATGCTAGTTCTACACTTCAGGGAAAATATAAGCTTTGGGATCAACTGGTTCATATGAGAGAAACTATTACTGAAAAATTGGTTTGTTGGTGGGGATTTTAATATGATTATGAAACCATCTTAAAGGAGAGGAGGAGGAAAATGTGATATTCAACTTATCAATCGTTTCTATGACAAAATTAGTGATGCAGGGCTTTTTTATCTGGGATTCACTGCACTCCATATACTTTGAGAAGAGTTACTCTGTCTCAAAGGTTGGATAGGTTTTTTGGTAACCATCACTTCTCTAATTATTTTCCTATTAATACGGTGCAGCATTTGAACTATTCTTCTTCTTATCATAATCCTATTTTGCTCACTTTGTCTTTCAATGATAAAAATCAGCACTATCATTTCAAATTTTTTAATTTTTGGACTACTCACACCACTTTTCTTAGCATTTTGCAACAGGCTTGGAGTTTTGAGGGTGTTGGAGATCCTTGGTATATCCTTTGGCAACTTCATAAAAAAGTTGCTTCTGCCCTGAGAAGGTGGAATTACCAAGTTTTTGGCAATGTTCATACAAAGATCCAGGAGACTCAAGCTGAGGTGGATGCTCTTGAAACTATGATTATCTTTGATCCTCAGCTGGTTAATGAGGTGGCTTATAAACATTCATTATTACTTGATGCAATTTCCATGGAGGAACATTTCCTTCAACAAAAAGCTAATGACATTCATTTTAAGAGTGGTGATTGTAATACCAATTACTTTCATGCTTCTATTAAACATAGAAGAATTATTAATTCCATCCTAAAGATCAAAAAGCCGAATGGAGATCTCATTGCTGATAAAGGTGAGATTGGTAATAATGATGTTCAATACTTCATTGATTTGTTTGCTTCCACCTCACAGGTCACACCTAAAAATAGTGACTTTTTTGACAAAGATAGGGACTATGTGGCTGGCTTGTCCCTTATTGACATTCTTATTGATCAGGAGATCTTCAATGTGTTAAAGGATACTAATCCTAATAAAGCTCCTAGCCCTGATGGTTTTACTTCCTCTATCTATACACACTATTGGGATATAATTCATAAGGAGGTTGTTGCTGCCATTCAAAGCTTTTTTATGGGTAATACCCTGGGAAGTTTTTTCTCTTCTTCCTTAACTATGCTCATCCCTTGCTCATCCCTAAAACTAATGTCAAAACTAATGTCAAAACTAGCTGGGATAATTTTAGACCTATATCACTTAATTCTGTTATCTCTAAAGTTATCAGCAAGTTGATAGTCTCTCGACTTCAACCTCATCTTTCTTAACTTATCTTCCCTCAACAATCAGCTTCTATTCATGGGAGAGAGATTTTTGATAATATACTCCTTGCACAAGAATTGGTGGAGGATCTTGAAAGGAAGTGTAGGGGTGGTAACTTGATTGTCAATCTTAATTTAAAAAAAGCTTTTGACACAAATAATTGGGATTTTATTCTGAGTATCTTGAAAGATAGAGGCTTAGAGGCTAAGTTTTTCACTCTCATTAAATACTGGTTGGAAAACAACTATTACAGTGTCTTAGTCAATGGCAAGTCTTATGGTATTTTTTCATCTCAGAAAGGCATCAAGGAGAACCTCTCTCTCCCACAATTTTCATCATGGCTTTTGATTATTTCTCACACCTTATTAATAGCATGCATGAAAAGTTTCCTGATGTACAGTACAGGCATAAATCTAAGGTGTTAGTCAGTCATTTAGCCTATGTTGATGATGTCATCATTTTTTTCCAATGCTTCTAGAGCCTCCTTCAAAATCTTGATAAACTGTCTTAACACCTTTCAGCAAAATTCTGGTCTCCTTCACAACAAATAAATGCCACCTTTATTTTAAAAATTTGGTCACGTCTGCAATTACCACTTGGGCCACTACTTATACTGAATTTTCTAAAGCATTTCTTCCTTTAATGTACCTTGGTGTTAACCTACTTTGTGGAAGATAAACGCAAACACAATTTGATGTTGTCGTGGATAAAGTTAAATCTCGTATTCATGATTGGAGAAATTTCTTTCTCTCCTTTGAGGGGAGATTAACTTTGCTACAAAGTGTCCTTCATTCCCTTCCTTTATATACTATGCAAGTTCTTTCTATGAAAATGAGTACACAGAAAGATTTAGAGTATATTTTCAACAAATTTCTTTGGTTTGGTGAAGGTTCCTCCAAAATTTGGATAAATTGTCATAAAGTGCAAACCTCATTTCTCTGGAGGTTTGGGTTTCAAAAAATTGCAACACATACTTGATATCAATATGTGTAAGTTTTGGTTTAAAGTTAGGCTTGGTTCTTCTCTTTGGGCTCCATTTTTGCAACACAAGTACTGCTCCCATCATCTCCCTTCTTCGGTTAAATGGAAAGTTGGGGACTCTAAAAACTGGAAGGCCATTTTATAGGCTAGAACCATGGCTAAGTAATTCATTTTCTGGGACATTGGTGAGGGAAAGGTTTCCTTTTTGCATGAACATTAGGGGTTCTCTAATTCTAATGAAGGGAATTCAAATTTGGCTAATGATATAATGGTCTCTGATTGTTGGAATAATGATCATTGGGACATGAGTAAACTTAGGGAGCTATTGGGGGATAATGTTGACCCTATTGCTAAAATTCCTTTATGTTCTGATATGTTTGATAAGCTCATATGGAAATTTACTACAAATGCTTCAATTTCTAAAATTCTTTATTCAAATCTACATAGCTTTGATTATTGGAAATGAGGAAAGGTGCTTTGGCATGGTTATATGTCTCCTTCTATTTCCTTCTTTCTATGGCGTTTTTTCTTCTCTCTGCTTCCACTTGATGATATTTTAAAATTAAAGGGGTTGGGGCTGGCCTCTAGATGATACCTTTGCAATTGTGGGGAAGAGACCATTACACATATCTTTTTTGATGTTCTTTTTCCCACTTTATCTGGCTGAGAATTGGGAATTTCATTGAAGCTAAATGGCCACATATTTGTACTTTGGAAGGTGTTTTGGATGCTTGGAAAGCTTCAAAAAATTTCAATAAGAAACTTTTCCCTTTCCCTTTAGTGGTGTTATGGTTCATCTGGTTAGCCAGAAATGAGTATAAGCATGCCAATTCTTCTATTCACCCTTCCATTACTGTCTCATACATTCTCTCTTACTACTTTAAAGCTGTTAGAAGTTTTGGAACATCTATAACTAGTGCTACTACATTTAAGGATATGGGTGGAAGGCCTCTATTAATTAGATGGCAACCCCCTGCACATGGTTGGGTCAAGGCCAATATTGATGGGAGCTAGACTCTTGACTCTGATGGTGCAGATGGTGTTTTCAGAAACTCTTTTGGAAACTTACTGTGTCACTTTTCTTCTCCTATTTATGCTTAGAGCCCTTTTGAAGCTGAAGGATGGGCTATTCTATTTTTTGTTCAGATTGCTTTGATTTATAATTTCCCCTATGTGGTCATCGAAACAGACTCCATGTGTATTTATAAAATGCTCACTAAGAGCACTGCCCTGTCTTTAGAATTTACTTTATCTTTTCAACAGATTATGGCACCTTCTTGCTACTCATTCTTTGCAGGTCCATTTCTCCTTCATCTATCGGTAAGGTAATGCACTTGCAAGTTTATTGGCTAAAATGGGCCATGCAATGATCTCTGTGGGCTATCTCCCCCTATATATGTTAAGGAAATTCTTGCTTGGGGATAAATTGGATTCCCCATACATTCGTGCATGATTTCTGTTTCTTGATCCTTTCTTCTATAGATCCCATTGACACTCACTGGTTTATTGAGGCTCTCATCTTTCTCTTTTTTTTTTTTGATGTTACAGTTATCTTTTATTGTCTAAACCCTCTATATGGATGTACTTCTTGAGGTTTCTGTTTGGTTTCCTTTTGCCCCTAGCTGGTTGGATGGTGTCTTGAATTTACAGTCACATTTGTAATTTCATCTATAGTTTTCTTTTTTTGGTTTCAACCCCCTCTATATGGATGTCTTCTTGCAGTTTTTGGTTGGTTCCTTTTGCACCCAGTTGTTTGGATGGTGCTTTGGACTCACAGTTCCTTTGGCAGTCTTCTTTTCCTTTCTTTACTTTTACTATCATATGGGATATAAATCATTTGTTTTGGTATACTTTTGGTTGGGATACTTGTATTTTGGAGATGTATTTTGGAGATATTTTTTGTGTCGAGTTGTAATGTGGGGAGAGAAGCCCCTAGGATTTCTTGTTTTCTTTTGGTTTTTAGAAGGGATCCTCTCCCCCTCCACCCTTTTGTACCCCCCATTTAATTTAACGCATTGGGAGCTATATATATATAATTAACTAATATTTTCTGCTACTTCCCTGGCAACGGCGCCAAAAACTTGATCGCGAGGGAATTTGTGTAGCTTAATAATAATGATGCAATGTAACCCAAACTATAATGTAATTTTAATGAAAATAATTTATCTCTAAAATCTTCTTTTAAAATCCCAATTCCCATTTACATATAACGCAAGTATACATATCGTTCAAGTAATACAGGGCTTAAATGGAGTCCTAAATATCGATCCCACAGGAAAGCTAAGAATATGTATAAGCTAGCTAATTATATTCTATTATAAAATAAAAATAAAAATAAAAACAAAGTAAAGTGCAAAGTTTGAAATTAAACTACTTAAGTAAAATGCTTCTAAATATGCAGATGTACGACTATAACAAGTAAATTAAACTAGATGCTAAACTTTCAAAAGTAAATTGCTAAAATAAAATAAAGGTTTTTGTGGACGAAAAAGTTCAAGTATGAGAAAACGTCCTTCCCCTTTACAGTGAAAGTATGGCTTATGAAGAAATTGAAATCATTTGAAATATGATTTGAAAAATATACTTAAAAATTATTTTGTGCCAAATAGAAGCAATCCTATTCTCTGCCCTCTTTCGAGCGCTATAAAGAATATTGACTAATGCAGAGTTTGGTCCCTAATTCTGTGGTGAGGCTGAGAGGATACCAGCTATCAATCCAGAGCTCCCACTACTCCCTCCCCTAAGGACTAACATGATAGCATTAGTTTCCAATCAACTGAACCAAATTGAGGATTCTAATTTGTCACCTTCAAATCTTCCAATTCTACAGCCGACATAGTATACTTCCCTATTTATTTGCACCCATTCCCATGGATGAGATAGTCTCCCATGAAATCAAATGTGATTCTCCCTTTATTGTAGAAATCATATCCCCATTTCAGAACATATAATTCTCAACATATTTTAACAATTCAATTGGTCAGATCAAAAAGTAAATGAAGATTGGAGTTCAAATCATCACAAATTATTGACATTTAAAACCGTAGAAAACAAAATCAATTCTTCACAAAAGTATTTCTTCAAAGTAGGGAGAAGGATAAAGAAGACTACTCAGAATTCATGAGAATGATATGATAGAACATGAATTTTATATATAAAAAAAAGTTTACAAACAAAAGAAATGAAAAGTACAACTTAACTCACAATCCTTCCCAAGCAAATCCTTAGACTCTCTCCAAGCCTTTCCCTCTTTACAATCTCTCCCAATTATCTCGTAGAAATGTAATGAAGAAGAAATCTCTCACCTTCCCTCTCCTCTTACAACCCTAGAAGAAAATCTCCTCCTTTTTTCTCTCTCTAACTCACCCCTATCCTCTCTCTCTCTAACTTTTTCGTCTCCCCTTTTTCAAGTCCCTTCAGAAGTTCCCTTTTGTTGGCTGCCTCTCCTCTATGAAAAGAGTCTCAATTTTGTCCAAAATTCAAAAGTTAAAACCTTGAATATCAAAAGATGTGTCTCCTTGATCAAAGAGTCAAATCCCTTCAAATTGGAACCTTCCAAAGTGTCTACATGCATTGAACATGCATTGAATCTACATGCATTGAATCACTCCATGGGATGCTTAGAACAAGTGTCCCTTTAAAAATTCACGTAAAGTTCATCTCAAAGCGCCTTAATTTGAAAATTTTGCACTTGGCGCATCATGCGCCAGCGCTCTGGATTTTGGCACATCATGCGCTAAATTGACACATCATGCGCCAAACCCAAATTTGGTTGTTTTTCCTCCAAATTTTGTTCTTTTTGCCTTTTTGTCACTAAATGCCTAAAAATGGTACACA